AGCCGGTCCCGGTCCCACAAAACTGTCAAAAACCCCAACCGGTCCCAATTTTCAGTCCCATAACCGGTCCCGGTCCTCCGGAGTTCCCGGGCCGGTTCGAGCCGATTTGGCCTTCACTAGTTGTGAGTATGATTTTTTAATAGAAGATTTGTTTTTTTTATTAACCTGGATATCCAACCCGCTATGCGAGCCGACTAATCCCAGGGCGAACACCTGCTTTGCAGATAGCCCGGAGTCATCGCATTTGAACCTCTGTGGCCACAAGGGGATTTTTATTCATCATTGGATTTGAACCTGAGACCTTCTGGTTAGGGGTGCTCAAAAACCCGACCAACCCGATCAACCCAACCCAACACAACACGAAACAACTCAACCCAAAGCAACTCGATGTCTAATCGAGTTGTAAAATTTTCAAATCGTAAGTATTAGGTTGATATTGGGTTGCTATTATATGAACCCAACCCAACCCGATGAACCCGATGTTCTTTTATTTTTTGGATTTAATATGATCGTTAAATTTATATTAATATATACATTAGACAGTTACACTATCACATACGCTCTTCATATACACATATTTTCAATTTATTTACATCTCTATATAACTCATTCGTATATATGTCCAGTAACTGTGAACATATATATGTAAATTGAAAAAACTAACTCAATATGATATACGTAAGAAGTATGGATAAATTGTATTAAATGGTTGATGATGAAAAAAAATTATGAGTAGAAAAATAACATATTCAAGGTTAGAAGAATATTTTAATGTACCAAAGTATCAACCCGACCAACCCGTACGGGTTGGGTTGGGTTGGGTTGAGTTAAGATTTTTCAAACCGCAAGCATTTGGTTGGGTTGTTCAAATGTCTTCAAACCGATCAACCCAACCCATGAGCACCCCTACTCCTGGTACTTTTGACCTTTAGAGCCAAGCTCAAACCAATCAGGCACCACCCTTGTGGTTTTATGATTTAATGAAGTAATTTATGAAGTAAATGTTTTTATGATTTAGTGAAGTAATTTATTTTTAGCTTAACAATAAAATGTGATAAAGATAATGATTATCCTAATTATATTTTAGATTTTTTATATTTAAAATGAGATATTTATCTTGTATTTGATTCTGTTTATCTGCAGTTAGTTATACAAATTTAAAAATAGAGCTTTAATAAGTTGTACTTACGTACAATTACTTGTAAGCTTAGATTTTAAGTAATATGCATTAATGCACAATACTTCATTAATAAAGAATGATTTTTAAGAGTTTTTGTCAAATGTTTTATAATATAGTATATATATATATATATCTATATCTATACAATATTATAAAGCATTTGGCTAAAACTTTTAAAAACTCTTAAAACTCTTAAAAAACTCTTAAAACTCTTAAAAACTCTTAAACTCGTTCATCCCTATCCGATTTCATCTCATATCTGAATTTGTGTAACTAACTGCAGATAAACACAATCAAATACAAGATAAACATCTCATTTTAAATATAAAAAATCTAAAATATAATTAAGATAATCATTGAGTTCTAACATAATACCTTAATTATTATCTTTATAAAATG